ACCAACAGATAAAGGTATGAACCGCTTTTAAAATGAGAAACAGATTTTACCCAGCGATCCAACCAAAACCGCACTGGATAAACTTTTTTTTTTTGCTTTTTTTCTTTTTCGATTTTTATTAATATACACCTGAAAAACAAAAGAAAAACTCTCTCTCTTACTCACGCTATCTCTCATCACTCTCTCAGATTTGTATTTGTTTTATATTCTTTTCTTTTGAATAGTTTTTTTCTCTAGTTTTGATTTTGAGAAAGTGCAGTGAATAACCAACAAAAATTTAATAATTCATTAAGTAACCATATAACGCTTATGGCTATGATATTTTGTGTGTAACCTATAATATATACCATTTTGCCCTTTGCTACCATGTCACTATGTCAGCTTCTTTTGTCTATATCATTTATCATCCTCTAGTGATATATCTTCCCTGACGTCTCCTTCCCTCTTAATTACATCAGTTAATTATAAAAAAACAGACCAATTCATAACTCTCTCTTGTATTCATTTTTCTTTTAAAACTAGTAATTAATATTAAAAAAGGAAGCAAAATTCTATTGTAAATTTTATATTTGTCGAAATATTAGTTGCCATAGTATATTACTGTTTTCAAATAGAATTATTGAAATATTAGTGTATAGATTATAAGTAATTACTCGAGCAGTTATAGAAAGTTACAAATAATGACAAGAAAAATTAGTGAGATTTTAAATATTCTCACACAATTATATAAAAAGATTCGCCACTCTATATAAAACACAAATTATTTTATTCTACAATTTTAATGGTCAATAATTTAGAATGGTTTTAAGTGTTAAATATATTTCTTAGGGGGTGTTCTTTAATCATGGAGTTAAAGTCAATTCTTTAAGGTTTAGATTTGCTTTCTAATATTGTTTTTAAGAATCTGTTTGCATGGATTTCAAAATCTCTATAGTATATCTTGGATTTTGATTCTAATAATTTACTCATGAAACTCCAAAGAAGTTTCATTTCAAATGATTTGATATACAAAGATTTTTCAAGTCTTTTAGTTTTGAATAACACTGAATTTTAATGAAATATTTTAAATCTTAGTTGAATAACACCAAACTATTAAAATCTAATGAAGTATAAGATCCAATAACACTAGATTTTAAAGTTAGATTTAGAATCATTAGTTGAATAACACTGGATTAGAGTTGGATTTCAATTCTATTAAAATCCATCATTGAATAACACCACCTTAGAGTATAGTATTCTTTCTTTAGCATGCATTTAAGTTGACCATTTGGGTTTCCTCAATTGAATCCCTTAGGGTATAGCTTTTGTTAGATTAACGTGCGTTTGACTCAGCAGTTTGAATTTTCTATAATTTGGTTTGCATTTAATTGATCATTTGAATTCTCTATATAATATCTCTTAAGTATAACTCATATTCGGCGTATATTTAACACTAATTTCTATAAAAAAAATTAACATTCTTATTCTTTCAAAGAAATTGTAAAAACATAAGTTTTAGAGCTTTAGTTTATTTATAAGGGGCTTTTGCAAAAATACCACTTTTCAAAAATACCTCTTTTTTAAAACCTTATAAAAAATGCTCTTAAAAATATAAGATTTACCCAAATATGTATGTAATATTATTAAAACATACACAAACTACATTTCTATGTATCTAAAATCTTATAAATACTTTATAAATACCTTATAAATGCATTTTAAATACCTTTAAAAACCTTTAAAATATCTTGTAAAACCTTTGAAAAACCTTAAAAATCCTTAAAAAATAACTTATAAAACCTTTAAAAACACCTTATAAAACCTTATAAATACTTGGATCGAGTCTTCAAGTAGTAGTTACAATCCATAAGTACCTTATAAACCTAATAAAACTTTATAAAAATTTCAGATTTAAAAAGGGGCATTTTTGAAAATGGAAATCTAAAAGGGGCATTTTTGAAAAAGGACACACCAAAAGGGGTATTTTTAACAATTTCCCTATTTATAATCTAAAATTTAGTTGGTTAAAATGACAATTTAATAGAGGAACACACTTACTATTTTAATCTAGATATATTTATTTTAATCTAGATGTCTATATAGAATAGTTTCTTAGTTATTGTTGATACTATTTACTGTTTAAAGAAATACTTATCTGTTTTTTAAAATTCAAATCTTGCTGTATGCAGAAAAATATCAAGGTTTTTTTTTATTTGTTACAAGTTTTAATTCAACATTACTTTGAGTTAATGTTACAAACAAAATTACTTGGGAAAATCATTTTCTAACAAGAAGAAAGAGACAGAGGTACTTATGAATATCTCTCTACAGCCAACACTATTTCTCTCGCTATACGTTATTCTCCCTAAATTTTCAGACACTTTGGTAATTTCACAAGGCCTTTTAGTTACTTTCTTAATTGATGGAATCATGGTGCTATATTCTTTATTTCATTATGAATTTTGGTTATTCAGCAAATTGGTCCTTTGATTTTCTTTTCAATAGTTTTTATACAAACAAAAAATATACATAACTCATAATATAAATTCAAATATTATAGTTAATTAAACCGATTGAGAGTTAAAATATTGATTCTAAAGTCCTTTATATTTTAAAATTTTCAAATAATTTTCTAATATATAAACTAGATTTATTTAAATTTTACCAAAAATTACTCAATTATTACATTAAATTATTAAAATTTGATGTATACTTTTATGATTGGATTAATAATTGTCTTATATATATACACTATAAAGTTAAATCAAAAAAATATTAACTATATTTTTAAAAATTCTATATGTATCCGGCAAATTATTTTTTCACGAATCAAATATTATTTCGTACCTCTTATTCTACAAAAACCGCACTTATCCCGCAAATAAATTTTTCCTGCTTGTACCGCAGTTGGATCGTACCGCACTGAAAACCTGCTTTTTCTACATAACTAAATACGCTGTCACCATTCGGATCCTTAAATTTATTGGTAAAAACAGTAATTGTAATGTAATTTTATAATGATAAAATATAATATATGACTAACATAAAAATTATAATTATTTCGTTTAAAATAAGCAAAAATGACGAGTGGGACCTATTACCTATAAGATGAGATCAAAAGACTATTTTATCTACTATACATTTTTGCAACAGTTTTTAGGGTCCCTAATCGGGTCGGGTATTTTTTAAATTTTGACCCGAAAATTTTGATTTCGACCCGACTCATCTCTATACTATTAAAAGAGAAGTACAAATGTAAATGAGTCGGGTCAAAATCAGAAAATTGACCCAAAATTCTGAAATCGGATCTTTAAAATTTTTTTGGAATATAAATTCGAACTAATAATGAAAAATCGAACTAAAATCAAATGTTTCTGGAAATCAAATAAAATTTGATTGTACTTATGGTAACTAATTATAAAATCATATTCTGAACAATATTATACATTAATTACGTATAATATATTTTTTCATATACTTTTGGAACTAATTCCATAATAATCAACGTTTTTCTCATTAATTTTGCTTATTTTAGCCAATTATCATTAATTAAAAGATATCTTACTTGCTTCTAGAGATTTCTAGAAAATTTATCACAACTAACCCATCTATTTTATAAATTCAATATATTTTTTTATCATTTTGGTCATGTAAATTAAATAGATATGAAATCTATGTAACTAATTTTAATTTAATTATATTAAATCAAAATTATGGTATTTTCATACTTATAGCTTTACCAAAGAAGTTTAATTTTCAAATTATAAAGATTTCTTGAATATGATTTTTAGAATTATTCAACAAGATGATAAATATTTATTAAATTTTGTGAATCATGAAAAATATTAATTATTTTTTAATCATTATATTTCACCTTTCAATCTCTCATCTAACAAATAAGATACATATTCTATTATTCCTATGTCCAAACTCCATTGTGTTGTATGACTAAATAATATTTCCATTAGCTGTCAAAACGAGTTGATTCATCCCGTTAAGCCTGTTTTGCAATAGGCAAAATATATTTTGGCATGTAGTTAGTCTGTCCGTACGACCCGCGGGTAGCATATATGAAACACAAACCCATCGCGCGAATGTATGCTGATTTGCGGGGTTATCCGTGGATTTTGTTTAAATACTTTTAGAGTAACCAAAATTTAAAATTCTACTAAAATAAATAAATTAGAAAAAATTTAGAGATTATAATCTTATATATCATTATATTTATAAATATTATAATTTCATTTATTAAAAGTTTTTTAAACTACCACATGTTGAATAAATTATATTTTTATCAATAAATACTATCATGCGGGTTGATCCGCTAATTTGCGGATGAAAACCGATGACCCACTGCGAATCAATCCATGTGGCCCGCTTATTTGCGGGTTTAATATATTTTCCCAAATCTGCTCAATAGTGAGATGATTTGGGCTCGACCCGCGGTTTTTGACCTATTTTGACTGCTTTAATTCCCATGATTCGTCTAATTTTTGAATTCTAAAACACAAAATTCCATTTTGTAAATCATAATTAATATGATTGGTTTAATTATAAACAATTTAATATTTTCTTTACAATTTGTTATTAGGAATATTTATAAGTACACTACACGATTTGTTCTACTAAAAACACGCACAATATTAAAATCAACGTATATAAATCAATATTCTCCCGCGGTGGACCGCGGGTCCGATCCTAGTTTACACATTAAAATCGAATTCGGATCCACAAAAATATACTTGCCAAAAACAAATGCAAGGATTTCGGAGAAATAAAATCTTTCCCTACTTTTGCAACTTCCCTAAACAAAAATAATTTGAGACATTCCTTAAAAAAATCCTAACGCAAATAAATGATTGATTTAGTAAATATATGTAGTTATAACAAACATAATCGTTTCCTAAATAGGTGCTAATGAGTTAAGTGCAATTCACATTTCTTGCCTAAATAAAATAAACCATATTAATTCCGTATTCAATCCACCCACAAGATTTTGGAAATTTTCTCATGATAAACGATTTTTAAAGATATTATCCTAAAATGGTTAAGAATATATGTAGCATATTCTAGATTTGTGACGATTTAAAGATTTTTGAATATATCAACGCCTTGCTAATCTAGATTTTGTATATTCTCTAACACAAAACCCTACTAATCTATAAATACATGCTCATTTCTACTACCACTGCACGAACAAAACACCAATTCCATTTCTATTTCTCTCTTAAGCTCAGAAAACATTACCAATAACAATGGCTGCATCCTTTACTACATAGATGGACATCAGGCCATACAAAACCGCTTGGTCTGTGCATTTGCAGGTGAAGGTGCTTCACTCCTGACGCCAGTATACCAACACAACTGGTGAAACACTAGAGTTAGTCTTGGTTGATGAGCATGTAATTATATATTATACTCTGTTTTTAGTAAAGCTTGACTACGAAACCAATTATGATACCAGTAAACTTATCCAAGAACCATCTTTATGTGTTTTATTGAAACCGTGTTATTCTTTGGATTATCAAATCTATATTTCTTTTTGGATTTACCTTATACGTTTATATATTTATCAGCAACATATACCAGAAAGCAAGAGTAAGAGCTATCTAAATGATATTCTCCAGCACAAAATCAAACAAAACTTCCAAACTATCATCACTAGACAAGAAGTCATTGCTTTTCTCCACAAAAAACGGTTTCAAACTAACAACTATTAACAGTATTATGAAATAAAACAAACCAAAACCCTAAAAGATAAAATTGGCATTTCCTAAATCAGTCATTGTTGTTCTCAAAATTGAGATTCAAGGATGGCGATGATAATAAGTTAAGATGGAGAGTAGAAAAGGGACTGACTTTGATGAGAAGGATGAGGAGCGGTTGAAGTCTTGAAGCTCTCTAGCGGGCAAACATGGCAACATAGCAGCTTCCAAAGCCATCACGCAAGCCATTATGTCATGAGTCTGATTGTTGGTTGGCGTCTCCGGTGATGCAATTTCCGGCGGACAGTCAGTTGGCATGGCGAAGTTTCAGAAGACAGCGGCGGATTTTGCTGATAATCCATTAATGCTGACATCGATCTCTCCTTCTCTCTGCTTAGATTCTCCAACTATGGCCTTCTACGGCTCCGTCAAATTTAATCTAACAATTTCAGCTATTTACTCCTCTCTCATGGCACATGAAATCGTTGAGACTACCCATCTTCATCACAGGTTTCTTCGAAACTTTGATTTCTCTCTCCCCCAATTTGGTTCACCAGAACTCTGTAGTGATTGAGTTTCTCTGTACTAGCAAAAAGCAAAAATCTTTGGGCTGCTGTGTTTATTCTTTTAATTGGGCCGAATTTAAACACTGGCCCTTAGGCATTGACTATTTTCCCTTTTTCTGCATTTTAATAGAAAGCCCTTTGATTGGAATTTTTTTTTTGGTTTCTACTCATTAATCATTATTTACTTTTTTCTTCAACATTAGAGAGAGAATGCACTGATCAATCAATGTTAGTTGAGCTCTACGAATTAATAGCTAGATCAATTTAGAAAGAGTCTGACAATTAACTTTGGAGTGTAAACTAATACATGTCTTTTATTAATACAATGAATTCAACATTTAAAGTATATAAGATTCTTAAATTAAAATAACAATATCCATTTAATTTAACATAATAACAATTAAAGTACATAAACAAAAACACACACACATATATATATATATATATATATATATATTGTCATTCTAAAATTAACAATAAAATACAACTAAAATCACATACCAATTAGACATTGGAGTTTGTTCTTGGTTATGCTTTAATTGTGCCTAGAGATTACAAGTAATAACTATCACGGAACGAAGTTAATATGACGGGACGGGTTTGGATCGATATTTACCACAGGTGAAATCGTATAATTAACAATCAAAATACAATTATACAATATTAAACACAAAATAAAACAAACAATATTAATAGAACAAATACAAAAATTTATAGGTACACAATGAAACCCCGAAGTTGTCCGCGGGGTAAAATCACCATATAAAAACCAAATACTATTACATTTAAAATATTATAAAGTTACATTTTACTAAAAATCGTACAGAATCAAACTTAAGTTACGATACTAATAAAACAGAAAAAATTAATACAGAAAACTCATCAGTTTATAAAAAAAAAAAAAAAACTTTAACCCAATGATAAAAAAAAAATTGAGTGTTTTAAAAAATTTGTTTCCTCATGTCATTTCATGTTACGCTCAACTAATTCTCATTATATTATGTATTGGTTTTGAATGGTAACATGTACCATTGCGGTATCCAATGCACCACTTTGATAATTACCAATCATAAAAAAAAAAATATCAAAAACGTTACAAAAAAATTTACCTTTAGTTTTCGTGTACCACCTTTTTTTACAGTTTTGTACTATTACATAATAATTTCTCGCTCTATAACAAAAACAATTTTCGATGTCTTTTCATCGTAGAGAAGCTATATTTTTTTTTTTATCGACGAATAATCCTTTACAACCGTATAATAGACTGGTTGCTTGAAGGTGGCATGGTTGATGAGCTTCTAAAACATAGCAAACGAAAGACGTCGATTGTGCTATACATAAATATGTGGTGTGGTTGGAACTACCAATAATTAACACGAGCGGCCAAGTGACCAACGACACAATTGTCAATTTGAATAATCATCAAACTATCACTTTTTTTTTTTAATATCTTTGGATCGACAAAACTCGATCCATAACTAATCTCTACTACACGGGGAAACGCGACTTAGTGGAGTCGAACTCCGGTGGGAAAGGCGGAGTCAGATGGACTTAACCACTTGACTAAAGGCACATCCTCAACTAGGTCTGGACAAAAAAACCGGATCCGATATTCGAACCGAAAAAACCGGGCTGGGGCGGGTTAGGGTATTCAGATTACCTCATTGGGTAGAGTATTGGTCAACCCGTGGGTATCGGTTCGGGTCGGGGGTTACCCGTTACCCATATAGGGTACCCATAAACCCGAAACTGAAGACATATGTGTTTATATACGTATATAGATATAGTCATATAGTCTTATATAATGGTGGAAGATGAGCTTATGAGAGATATTTTTTCAGTCATCACCCATCTATCAACTTCCAACAAGGCTACAATCTTACTTCTAATTCTATCTAGTTCAATGTTTTTGATATTTGGATAATCGGATTTATGTTTTCATATTCATATTCGGGTTTCTCTACTCTTAACTCTTAAGTATTAATCATTGTGTTTTTTGGATTGAATTTAGATGTCATGTTTATGTTCTATTCTCTTTATTTGATGTTTTGTGCATGTAAAATGGTTTAAAATTTCGGGTAATGGAAACATATTTCGGGTTTATGGGAAATTTTACCCATTTAGACCCGAACTCAATGGGGACCATAATTTTTTGGTTTTTTTTCGGTTCTCATACTTATTACCCATACCGACCCGAACCCGACGATACCCGAACCAGACCAGAACCGAATATTTAGAAATATCCGAATGGGTCGTAAATTCATTACTCATTTAACCCGAACCCGAACGGGTTACCCATATGCCCAGGCCTTCCTCAACTATCACTTTTTTTACCTAACGATTTTCTAGTTTTAAACTATACAATTGTTGAAGCAAAATTAGATCATATATAACGAAGCAGTAAGAGCGTTGATGCTAACCTGACACAACGTACTTACAATAGGCATGATTTGTATATGAACTATGAACTTCTAAACCCTTTGTCTTCTCAACGGCCGGTGTTATTGGCTCAACCGTCGAGCCCTTTCATTTTGTAAATATTCTAACTACTAGACCGGATCTATTAGGTGATGTTATTGAAAATTTGCACGATGGATCTATTGTTAGTGAAAGGTTGACAACTGCATAATCAAACGAACTCGAATTAAAATTTTGCTTTAACATTTTAGTTTTAGTCAGCACCTGAATAACCTAATTAACCTGATTGAACAAACTGAGATTCCTAGCCTACTGTTCTATCTATTCTTTTTACCTTGGTAAAATCGAGAAACCCTCATTTACCAATGTGTTGTCTGATTTGTGGCATGCAAAGACATTAAACAAAAAAAAGGTTTAACCGCGTTTTAAAAGTGAAAAAGAAGAGACAAAAAAATAACCAATGGGAAAGTGAATCAACGTTATGGGCAGCAGTATTATTATTATTATAATAAACTACTATACATTCAGTCATTTATGTACCTTTCGATATGTCATGTCCAAAGAGAAGAAACTTTTGTCCTTTGCTAGTTTCTTCGTTTTGAGTGCATTTGATTAGACTTCTGTCAATTCTTTCTTTGAATTTTTTTAACCTTTTCTTCTCATAATTTATTTTCTGATAATAACCTTTCGTCTGAAAATTTATTAATTTATTAGGGAAATTTGCATAAATAACCTTAAAAATTTTATAAATTAAGAAACTAACATCAAACAAAAAATCAGTTGATATTCTCTGTATTTTTTTGTATTTATGACAATTTTGTCCTTGGTGTAAAAACTGTAAACTTCACGTTCTTCTTCCGTCTTTTTTTTTTTTTTTTTCCTTTCTCAATCATCTTCATGAATCATGACTTCATCTACGAGAATTTTTCAGAGTTCTCTTTCATGAATTTGGATTGTGCTTCTTCTTATTCAATTGATTTTCGATTAGATTGAACCCAATTTTTTGATTCAATCTAATTAGGGGTCACGATTCCTCCGCTGCAACTTCAACTTCCATACCCCGTAAAATTGGGGTCACTGTTGACTTTACGTATCGACTTTAGATAAATAGTATACTATTTTTGTGATGATTCTACATTGTTTGATATTAATTAGAATGGTCCCTAATTAGATAATGAAAGTTTGTGATTCTGGAATTGGATGCTTCTTCTCATATTACGCTGCAAACTATCGTTGAAGACGAATAGATGATGATGAAGATAATGGAGTTAAAGTCGCCACTCGCCATCACCACGGCGACAACAACCACCGCCATCATCATCATCATCATCACCAAAAAGAGTGTGAAAGACTACCGCTACTGCCACCGTCGCCATTGCGGCCATCACCATCACGATCCCTGCCACCGTCACTAGCAACACCACCACCGTCACTACGTCAGCCCACGTTTTTCAGTTTTCACTCCTCACGCGCTCGTCCAAAAGCACAAATGTGAAGTACTTTGTAGACATTTCCTTCTTTAGTTGTGTTACTTACTTAATTTATAACATTATGGTGCTATATGTTTAAATAGTTTATCAAAGTGGTTACTTTTGCAAAAGACCCTAATTATTACACAATCTTTTATTTACAACAAAAAAAATCTTTTTAACTTTTATCCTAACCATCAAAATGAGTGGATCTTGAGATGACTGCGTTCAATTGGCTATCTTGAATCATGATTCTTTTTTAGTCGACAAGATGAAATACGCGGGTTTGATTCTGGTGATAACACAACCACATCATTAACAAAAACCCAAACCAATAAGCTATAAATTCTTGTCACAGCAAATGGTTTTGCTTACAAATTTATAAAACAAAATATTGATTGACAAAAAAAACAGAATATTAACTAAATTTAATATTTGTAATTTAGGTATGTATGCTTGTGAGGAGAGCCTTTGTTTGTCATGGCGTTCATTTGGCAATAACATAAATGTTAAAACAAATTTTTAGACCCGTCAATTGAAAGTTTAGTATTTTTACTGCTAAGGAAATCTATATTAATAATAATGTTATTTTAGTAGATTTGGTAATTCGTTTGTTGAGTGATAGCTTATATAACATGATATATCATGGATTTTATCCTTTTTAGCCATAATATATGTATTGTTTTTAGAGTCTTTTTGTTATTTCTGGAGTCTATTCTAGTCTTTTCAGGTTTATGCACGTTCAAAACTAATTTGGAGATTATAGATCATTTTGGAGCAAAACCAAGAAGCTATGCTGCAAGAGCAATTCGGAGACCAAAATTCGTGTAAGTGTCGGTCGACACCAATATCTAACGGCAATTCAATTTCGAGTCTCTTTGAAGTTTTGAAAATTTGCATAATCGCCCCAGAACTTTTCCCTATTTTCAAAGAAGTCTCTGCACGTTTTTAAGAACATATAAATAGATTTTTAGGGTTTTGTTTCAGATATATCTCTTAAGCTTTATTTTACTTTGTTCTTGGGAGCTTGAACCCTTTGGGAGATAATTGGAGATATCTCCTTCAGAGAAGATCTTTCTTAACTCATCTCTTTTATTGAATTTCTTTATGCTTTCTATTCATAACATGTTGTTTGTTTCAATCTCCATATCTGAGTAGTTTGCTTGTTAGGTTTAGAGATTCTCATTAGGGATTTAGATGAATTAGTAGATCGATAATCTGTTAGGATTAATCTATAGAGTTCTTCACCTTAGGTTGTTCTTAATGCTAATTCTAGCTCGATCACCTAGAATTTGATCTTTGGATAATAGGTAGATTCGAGAGGTCATCTATTACTGGAACTATCTTAGGTGGGCAGAGATTTCTAGATTCATACGAGAGGTGGTCTAGGAATATTTGTGAACATATCAAACCTGTTTTTAATGCTAGTTTAGATATAGGAATTCACATTTGAAAGAGTGGAATAACCTGATATTAGATTAGTTAGGCAACGCATTCAAGAGGGTGGTTGGCTATACATTAGTGTTTTGAGTTCTAGAACGGTTCGGTAATAATCCTAATTAATTTGTTAGATTTGCTATTAATTTATTTCCTGAGAAATTCTCTAATCCTAACGTTCTCTCATCTGAATTTACAACTGATTTACTTGCTTTGCTTTTATTTAATTTTTAATTAAAAACCTGCTAATCTATTGTGTAAACACGAGAGCTTTGTGGAATTCGACCCTAAAGTTCTGCAATTGATCTCTTATTTGAGAGAGTAGTATTTGATCTTAATTTGACTCACATCATAACAAATGATAAAACTGTAAGTAGTTTGTTTTCTCAATTGATTTATCTCTAATACAAGTCGATAACTCGACTGAAATGTATCTTGTGGTAATCCAAAAAGTCACATGATCTAGTATATGTTGCTGCTACGTATTAATTATATATTGATCCGGTCTTAAAAAGATGGATGGAGCTCAATCCATAATTTCTTAGTTATCAAATTTCTTTTTGAAACAACTCATAGGAGCCAAAAGAGGAGATAATCAAACATGTTGTGCTCTCTACAATTTCCTCACCAGTCTCACTTCTCAACAATATTATATAATTTGCATTGCTTCATAAAGTATTCCACTTGTAACCAAAAAGATTAACTTTAAAGATAATTTCATAAGGAAAACAACATTTCATCTACATTATTCTTTAAATGATATCAGCAAAGATCATGTGAAACCATATTTAAAATATTATATATAGACAGTAAAATTTTTACTTGGGAGATAATACTCGCTTTTCAACTAACAAAAACTATTAGAAATACAAAATTTCCGAATGATTATGCCGTTAATTTTTTGATATAAATAGTATTTTACAGCAATTTTGATATTCAATCGACCCAAAAAAAAATATTTTTCATCAAAACAGAAACACAAATGTGAATAGTGATGAAACTTTTTCATAATATTATGGATCACCTTTTTTTTTTGGGTTTTGTCGTTTAGGCATAGTGAAGAATAAAGAAGAAACAAACAAGAAAGAAAGCTCCAAAATTCTCGGGCAGACAATATTCTTATTATCCATAATTTCATCCAATGTGAATAGTGATGATGTTCTGTCTTTTCTTTTGTACAAAACGCAGTAACACCTTCGCACTCGCACGGTCATTCAAATTCAGCAACTAAGCGCTTCGTATTTAACCGGAATCGGTTGGTTAAACCCGGTCCGTGCAATCAAACTCCCAACCACCGTCAAATCTCTACAAAACACTCCTTTAACCACATTCGTATTGTTATTAGTACTATTACTGTTCACCGCAACCGCGACCGCTCTGACCGGCGTTTCGATGTTATTACTCCGATGAGTTTCCGCTGCCACGGCTTTTCGTTGCTTCTCCGCGGCTTGCTCCGTTGCGATGTTACTTGTCACGACTGAGTAGCCTTTCTGGATCAATCTGTATAGTAATAGAGTTGACATTCTGGCTCGGTCCTTAACCGAGTCTAAGTCTTCCTCATCATCGGTTAGCTCAAACCGGTCAATGAATGACATTGATCTCTCCGGTTTATGCTTTAAATTGAGTAACAAGTAAGCTCGATCCAGCTCTGATCTCGAGCAATCACGTCTGATTCCCATCAGAGCATAGTAATCCACGTTTCCGATTTCTCCGTTTGCGATTTTCGTCTTCAATTGCTGGATCTTCGAGGTCAAAACGCATAATTTTCCCGGTATTTCTCTGTACCGGACGTTGTGCCGTTTCCAAACCGGACCGGGGAGTTTCCGGTCACGTAAGATGGAGTTGTAGAGGAGTTTCAGATGTTCCAAATCGTGAAGCGAATCGGGGAAACACCGAACGGATTCTAGCAATGCGGCTCTGGTTTCTAAGGCTTGGAGACATGACGGATCTAAGGCTAGGGTTTTGTTACAGTCGGCGATTGATTCCGCGATTCTTCCGGCGGATCTGTAAGCGGAGGCGCGGTGCATAAAGCACTGGGCGAGAAATGCCTGCGGCGCGCCACGGCGGCTGTCTAAGATTTTTGAGAAATGGCGAATTGATTCTGAGTAGAGCCCTGCGTCGAGAGCGGCGAGTGCGGCGGCGCGTCGTCGTAAGAGTAGCTTGATGTGAGATAACACGTGAGCGATGCTCTCGGATCGTGGCTGAGATCCGGAAGTTACGACGACGGAGGTGGGAGGAGAGGAACCGCCGTCTTCGGAGGAGAAGAGAATAAAGCTATCGTCAGACCAGCAAATGCTCTGACGGCGGAACGCGGCGGTGGCTAAGCGTTTACCGGTTTGAAGAAGAACCATTGCGTCTTCCATTAGACCTAAATGGCAACAAGCTTGACCTAAAACCAAATATCTGTAACAGAAAGAAGAAGAAGAAGAAAAGATCCGAATCAAAAATCCGGGTCGGGTTTTCTTTAATGAAGATCAGAAATGGTTTTGAAGTAAATTACCTCCATTGCCCTTGTTCGTCGCAGTTTTTACTGAGACCAGCCATGACTTTCTTCTTCAAATCAGAGACAGAGAAGCATTTAAAAGACGAGTCATGATGATGACTCGGCAAATCGTTGAGAAGTTTGACAGATTCACGAGAAGAATGAGTAACAGAAAGCTCCGATGAACCGATGCCGGAATCTTCGCCGGCTAGTTTAAGGCTAGGAATGTAATCCTGAAGCATATCAGCGACGTCTTTGAATCGACGGAGGTAAAGAAGCGATCTGGCTTTAAGTTCGAGAGCGAGTTCGTAACGAGGAGATACAGAGAGTGCAGATTCCAGAAGATTCAGAGCAGATTTAACGTCGTTTGGATCTTGGCTCGCTATTAAATTCTTTGCTTCTTTCATGTACTTATCAACGATCTGAGAGAGAGAGAGAAAAAAACATAATTTGATCAGATCGATTTCGAATTCACAAAAACAATGAAGCAGAAGAGATCCAAAGATGGAGACTGACCTTCTTGTTGCGGAGCCACCAATGCTTCTTCTCTCCGTAAACCGCCATTGTCGTAAAACTTGTGAAACAATCAGAACAAGAAGAAGAAGAAGAAGAAGAAGAAGAAGAACTTTTCTCTCTTCTCGATCCGGAAATTAAAAAAAAAAACTAAAATAAAATATTATATATAGAGAGGAGAGAGGAAAAGTCGAAAACACGAGAGAAGAGAGAGATTTTGAAAAATCATGTGAAGAATTGAAAGTGTCTTAAATATGGAAGAAGAGAGAGTTGTGTAATAAGAAGAAGATGAATGCTAAAATGACGGATTTACCCTTTGATGAAGTTCTTCTTCTTTGGATCCTTTCCTCTTCCTAGCTGGCAACACAAAACCACACTATTGCTTTGCTTACCATTAGCCCTATCATCATTCCATCCCTCATTCATTATTTCCTAAAATACACATTATCATTAATATTTTTTTGTCTTTATTTTTTGATAATTAATATAAATTTTTAATCCATTTTAAACAAAATCATGGTCATAAAACTTACTATTGATATCCAAATAACATACTGTATGTGGTTAACATTAGTAATCAAATTGGTTGCTATATGAACGAGTATAAATAAATACAAACAATAAGTATGTCGTAAGCTACAAGACTCCTGCTAATTTTTAATGGTTTGTTATTGTTTTATTTAATGAAGCAGTTTAGGTTTTTTGATTCGTTTAATGTTTTCTTAATTGAGCGGGGACAACTTTCGGCTTTATTTAATTGTTATTAAATACTCCCTCTATTCCATTTTGTTTGTAGTTTTAGGCTTTTTTTTTTTTTCTAATTTGTTTGTTTTTCTCACATATCTATGCAAAATTTTACTTATTCCAACAATTTATATTTTCTTAGTAATTAATTTAAATTCGAAAATAATTAATAAATTTTGGTCAAAGAAGTCCAAAAGTCTAAATACATAACAATCGACAAAAGCATATGTAGTCAAAGCATTGTTTAATTATTTATCTTAATTATCTAATTAATGATTTTTAACCAAAATTAAGTTTTCTTAATAAGCATGCTTTTAGTTAAAATTACAAACAATATGGGACAGAGGGAGTACAAATATTTACATTTTAATTAATGCACATGTAATATACTTCCTCCGTTCATTTATAAATGATGTTTTAGGAGAATGCACACCGATTAAGAAATCATTTAATTTTTGTTTATTTCTAAACAAAAACATCATTTATTATTTAATCAACCAATAGAAAAATAATCTACATAATATAAATCATCAAAACCAATAAAAAACTAATTAATATTGCATTGAAAACTAAAAACATCATCTATTCGAGAACAAAAATAAAAGCTTAATACATCATTTATATTAGAACGGACGGAGTAAATGGGTACAAGATTAGATCAAAAGATGGCCTGCTTTAGTTTCTCTCTCTCTCAGATAAAAGTAAAAATTATGTTTAGAACGTGACAATATTAATCGTGGATGGAGATTGACTCGTTATACAAGATGGAAAAGTGATTAATTATTAGATTACTAGTAGTAAAATTCACTTATGTCTTATGATGAGTTAAGATACCAAATGTTGTCATGCATTTAACAAAACAAATAGTGAATTCTAGCCGTGTATAAATATGGAATTAGGATACCAAATGATGTCATGTATATAACCAAAAAAAAAGAAGTTTATCTTTATATATTTGTGTATACATACAATACAATAAATTTCTTTTTCAAAGAAAATACAATAAATTTACAAAGGTACAAAAGTAAATGTTCTCCAACTAACGGGTTTGCTTTTTGCAGTTGCTGCTGATATCTCATGCACGCAACAATTATACCGCTCGAGGTTAGACACAATAAATTTTTCAATTTTTGTTTTGAAGAAAGTGGAAAAGGAAACAGATTGAAATGTTAAAACCTTATCATTTTAGGTTTTCCAAAAAATAAAAAATAAATGGCGAGGGATAATGTATGCACTTCGTTAGCTTTTTCGCATATGGACAATACCCTTTTTATTCGTCATATAACACTACCATTTAAACCTAGACAAAATAATAACTCTATTTGTCAACATGGTTATGAACCTTTTTTTTTTTTTTACAACCTTTTTTTGTCAACATGGTTATAGGTACATATATATGCCTATATCATTTTTCGAAGAAAAATTTTATATTAAAAAAGGAAATAAATTAACCACATTATATACTTTGATGGCAGGAAAAAAAAAAGTAATTAAATAAGTAAGGAGGAAATGGTTGCGTTAACGCCAAGAATATGACTTTGTATTAGCTTCGACGTGGCATTCTCCTATACGAGTGAATATAATAGTATAAACTCGGCCAGAAAATGCAACAAATTTAGTGAATCTTGCATCAACATCAAGGATAAATGTAATCTAAGTACAATACTTAATCATAGAAAATAATCAATAAAGCTTTCTTTAAAAAAATTTAAAGAGAATAAAGCGAAACAATATTCATAGAAAGGGTCTCCAGATGAAATATTTTTATTTTCACCATCATTTGTTAAAGACAAATATCACGGAATGCGTCATTGCTTCTTACTCATATATTGTAATATAGATCCTAATTATCAATATTGACTTGCTCTTATAATTTTGTACACCCTTTTTTTTTTTTTTTAAAGACTTTATACATTTCAGATAGGCTGTTTGACCTAGTGATCTAAACCCATTTTATTAATATATGAAATATTTTGCACCTTGTAACAATTCTTTACACAAATATATATAATTTTTTTTTAAAAGAACAATTGTAGACAAAAACATTTTTTAGTTATACTCCGAGGAAAACGACTATGTTAATTACGGGACAAATATATATATATATATATATATATATATATATATATAGTTAAACGATATAATGCTCCTAAGTCCTAAACTCCAAAACAATTATTTAGAGATTATTAATTTATATATTGTTACTATTATGATACACTAATTGTGCAAGTTTATATATTCATGATTTGATTCCCTTTAAGACGCAAACAATTCTTTTTGGAATATGTTTATATGAAAAAATTAACCATGACTGATAATTGTGGTGTTCACAAAACCATACAACATACATATAATATATATGTATGTCTTATCCTAGGAATAATAAATGATTATGTATGAGTTCTATAATGAAGTCTTGAATTGGGCTCCAATATATGGAAGGGGCCAGCAAATAATGACATAATTGCAAAATAAGATGACAAGTTCTATCATCTATGAGTATCAAAGAGTCTTGGTTTGGTTTCTTTCTACACAAATAAACATGTCTTCACAGCTCATTTAGTCATTTCTCCAGCTCTGAACCTCTTTATCTTCAGCGCTCTTAATCTCATTTGCTTACTACTGTATATATATTTTCTGTATTTGGTTATGTTGTGACCCGATGGTTTTCAGGGTTTTTCGAGGTAACAAATTGGTTCTGATTTGATGCACACGCTAGACAATTACATAATCCAGATGATAATTATAAACTCGGCGATTTTATCATTAATGCTTTGTGGTTTTCAAGGGTAAAGATTGGAGTGGTAAAAATAATAAGATTGGAGTATATAATTTCACGAGATATAAAAAAACCTAATCCCAATGTTAAATCTTTTCAATTTCATAAAATATGACAATTGTAGCTGATGAAATCTTGATATTTTATAAAACTGTGTAAATTCAAATTTGTGAAAAGTACATAAGAAGAAAATTATTATGTCATTTTATTTTATTTGAAAGATAATTGAAACTCATTTGTTTAGTGTAGTTTGAAAGAACATGTTTATAGAACTCCATATAATAATTCTCTCCTAAGTTGTTAAGTAGTCCTATAATACTTTGTTTATAAATATGCAACCATCTTGTAATAAATCTGTCTTATGGATGGATATACAGCTAAGGCTGCTAGTTAGTGTTGGTATATATAGAGAGGCTTAGAAGATCCATATTTAAGGAAGTAATATAAAGAATTGTGACATGATACATAATGGTTGGTTTCTAAAATTATTTAAGAAATTTACATCAAATTTTAAATGTTGAGGATACAAAGTGCTGAGTTAGAAGAGAGCAAGTCATTAATGTATCAAGTGGGCAAACACATGTTGTGTTTTTTAATACAATTTTAAGATGTAAACAAATATTTATTCGTTTTAGGGAATTTGTCGAATATACTAATTTGAAGCTTCGACGGTTCGACCTTTGAAAATTTCAATTTTTTTATATATATAAATACTCTCTTTTAATTGGTAATGGGAAGATAAGAAATAGCTACCAAATATCTATAAATTATTTATACGTTGTCTCCTCCGTATAAGCTACTTCATTTTCATTTTAATCAGCTGTTGGATTTGTAGTTTTGTTCGTCGTAGTAGGCAATAAACTAAAATCAACTATAATTGTGCAACACCTGTCAATATAATTATAAGTATATAACAATGGCTAATGAAATTAACGGTTTTTCCCCTTATTGGATCCCTTCTTATATTTCTGCAGGAACAGCTGCGAGTAGTTGTTGTTTGGTGGGAGCTTACTAATTGTACATTAAATAACGTTAGCAAACTGAAATATACTACTGTATATGCTACATTAATTTTTCAGGAGTAGAAACTAGAAAGTGAGGTTTAAATTGTGATAATATGTGCATTTAATATCAACATAAAAAAATCTGAATACAAATACTTCATTAAAATTGAATACTAGTAGCGATTAACGATTAACTGGTACATTTCGTAAATTGAAAATAGATAATTACAAACTGAACACCTTTTAAAAAAAAAGAAAAATGTATATATTTAACATACAAACACAAACAGTTGAAGGTGAATTTTGACAGAAGTGCATCATTAGTTAAATATATAGTACTGGATTTTTTTTTTTTTGAATTTATATAGTACTGGAATTTACAGATATGCGAATGCAATCTCGTGAGTGGTCAATTAGTTGCCACTAATTTCGATCTAATCATACTGTACAGAGCTACGCATTGATTTGACCATTATCATTCTACTATGTTAATCATTAAAATGTAAAATAATGAATTATAATAAAACTCTTCCAATGAGATCTCATCTAATGGTAACTTTCTATTTAAGCTATTAATTAACTAAAATAGATATATAGATTAATGGTTAGCTTTGACAAAAAAAAAAGATTAATGGTTAGCTCTTCAATTATCAATACGTGTTGGTGTCCAATGAGGCAAAACTTGTTGTGAAGCCCTAAAGATTCCCTTATCCAAATTTGACCCACCTCCACATGTGACATGTGTAGTTTGTGATAATATATTTTAATTACCATATTTAGATTACTGCGTTTATTCTTTATAGAGTTGAGATCTACTTTATATGATTATATTTAGTTTTTTTTGGGATATAATTCCATTTCATTTTCAGCAAAATGTAGCATGATTCCGTAGATAGCAAGAAATTCATTTTTTGGAATTTTAGATATAATTAAAATACGTCGTATTTAACTATATCCAAAATGTTATTTTTTGATTTTTTTTTTAATAAGGACATAAAAGCCACTCTTAAAAATGTTTTCAACTTTCTTCTAATTAAATGTTAATATATTTTTTTGGCGGCAAACAAACGAAGTTTTGTTTGTACGGATTTATTTAGGTGTAAGTATGTTATAACTTAACATAGAAAGTAATTAGTAGATTGGCAAAAAAAAAAAAAAGTAATTAGTATTATTTCATTAGATTTGCAACATGAACAAATCATATGTCGAGGTCATGAACCAATGCGACGTCATCTTTTTGACTACACAATACAAAAATCTTCGAGAGGTTGGACGACGTGCTCTGCACGTGCATGAAGACGATATATCACGTGTCACATGCAAACCATATTATTTCTCAGGTATTTTCCTATAAATTTGTATCAGTAAGTAGTTTTTTTTTTAATCATAACATTGGATAAAATCATTTAACGTATGGTTTATTTCATTGAAGGGTTTAATCCAATGTTATGATTAAGAAAAAAACCTACTTAAACTAGTACGTAACTTTGTCTTAAAAATTTCTGCTCATGCAAGTGGATCTCAAAAGTGTCAAAAATGAATATAAAAAGTTCACAAAAATATGTAACAATTACCTTTTACTGATATACTTTGGAATTTTCTTTTACTGATACTTTGCCCTGTTCATATACATTGCTTTATGCAAAGTAAATCTATACACACGTTTGAGAAAATCATAAGAATTTATTTTAACATGTAGAAGTCCGGCAACATCTCTTTATTTAACCTTTAGAAAAATAAACATCTCTGAAGAAAAAAAAGAAAAAAAGAAAAATAAACATCTCCTTTTTTATTTTTTGTCATCTAAATTTTTATTAATGAACTTGTTTTAAAACCAAGGAGAATTACAACGTTCAAAAGAGGGAAACTTAATCCGGCGGACGAAAAAAAATCCCCAGAAACATAGCCGGAGGAAGACGAAATTTCCCCAGAAACTCGACCATATGAAAGGGAAACTAAGAACACTACAAATACAAAGCAGAAGTTCACAAGCCAGGATCGAAAGAGGCCGAAACCAAAACCTAAGAATAGAAACAAAACATCTTATATGCTAAGAGAAACAATAGACCAAAGAAGGCAAATCAACTTCTTCTTCCGAAGCACCTGCGATGAGATTTACCAAGGATGTCCGCGACCAGACCAAAGATAACAATTACCACCTTCTACATGAAGAGAGCCGATCTCTCGAAACATCTCCTTTATTTCCATAGAAATAAATTTTATGAATACAAAGTTTTTGAAACAAAAGAAAAAAAAATCACAAAGGAATAAAAATATGACTAAAGTTCCAAAAGACACTATGTACAAATAAAAAATAACAGACTACGCCAAACAAATATTCCGCCATATATAGTTCAAGTAAGAAAAACTAGTGGGATGTATATGTATTTATATATGTACAAAAGATCCAAAGGGTGATGCAACAAGAAGTAAATTTTAGGATGGACTGCGACAATTTATATATCCGATCACCAACCAAGAATTGGTTTCCCATTAGTGCATGAACAAAACTGCAACATGTATTTTTGTGTATTGTTCATATCATTTTCTAAATTTTTTTGTGTGTTTAAATGAACTTAGAAGAAAACATGTAATTGTAAAATATTATATGTTTGTAAAAATGTGACAATCCCTTTCTATCGCGATTCACCACATTGTTTGAAAAATGAGAAATTACATAAGAATTGGGTTTTGAATTACTACATTAGAACAAGTATCACGTGATAACGAACGAAACAGAGGTTTTGGAATTCACGTGAGTTTCTCGTGACCGGCGTACAAGACACATACGCACGTTAATAAACGATCTTACACACAATTTAGCACAAAACACACACCAATACAACAAAATCATTTAGAAAAGGATTTTAACAAAACGACAACGTATTTATAACAAGAACCGTTGATGGATTTTCTTCTTTGCTTTCTTCTCTTTAATAGGATCCAAGCTTGGTTTCCACCCTCTTCCCGACAATTGCCGGCTCAAAAACTCCGGCCTCTCTTCCTCCTCCATCTCTGCCTCCAATCTTCCAACCGACGTAGCAGCAACCACCGCATCAGTCGCCGGAATATTGTTCTTATAACTTCTAGTAGTAAACCAAGGAAGTATCCCTTCATAGTAGCTAAACGATGACCTTACCATTGCCGTGGCGCTAAATAGCATTTTCCGCATCTCCTCTGACGTGAGCACCGCCGATGCTGATGATGATTTGGCTGCGCTGCCACTGCTTCTTTTGGCGGGAAGCACCAAATAGATTTTCCCCGGCTCGAGAGTTTTATCAGCGGGCAAAGGAGCCAGCTTCTTCTTCACCGTTTTTGCGTCGTTGTTTTTCCGGTGGTGATTGTTGAATGATATCGATGACGGATCAAATTCGACAACCACGTGTTGCGGATTTTCCAGCATAATCTCAGCCACCGTCGTCTCTTCCTCTAAGTTTTGTACTCTTCCGTCGGATAACACAACTTTTCTAGCAGCCATCGATGCCGCATTCAATTTTCGGGAACCGGCTACGTTACCCATTCTCAGATCAGAATGCTCCTACAACTGTCTTTGTGTTTGTGTAAATATATATAAACACACACACACACACACCACACATGAAATGGTTTGGTTTGTATTGAGTTCGTTAAACGGTTCCATCGTTTACTTTTAATGATAATTTATTCATATACAAAACAAATATTGTATTGGTGGGATCATGACGAGAAAAATTTGATGGGTTTGTTGGGTAATCTCACAGATGGTTTGATCTCAAACTTTGATCCAACGGTCGAGAAACTCTTTTGCTACTACTACATTTACACACGTATTTAAACTTTACTTATTTCTAATATTTGGCTATGCGTGAAACGAAAGTGAAAAAAACTGTTCAACCACACATCTCTTTCTCTATTGGGTTAGTTAACTAACTTCACAAAGTTATAATCTACACATTATTTTCCCTTATTTCAATCAATATATTGAGAATATAAATTACGAAACATGTACTGTAAAAAATTCACTACAAGAAACAAACCAGTCGAGGATCAGACAAACGAGAAAAAGCTACGTTTTACGACATTTTCTTACAACACATTCAAAAAAAAAAAAAAGAGCAAGACAATACAAAAACTGGATTTATAGAAACTTACGGCTTAATAATAACAGCTTGTGTCGTCTTACTTGATGTATTGAGAAAGCCATTTGAAGCCTTCGCCATAACCCATTTTCCTGACAATGCTGCACATGAATACCTCCAATGGCCTTACATTCGAATCCGTTAGATTCACTTTACCCTTTCCTGTTGTGAAGTTGGAGAGTCCGAGATGGTAACGGAGCTCGTCTTCTGATGCAGCGTAAGGTATGTCTATTTTGTTTCCTAGAATGAGGAATGGGACGTTGGCTAGGGATTCGTCTGAGAGAAGTGCGTCAAGTTCCTTTTTTGATTCTGCAAATCTCTCTTTGTCATAAGCATCTACTAGGTAGACCACAGCGTCCACCTGCAAAAACAGAGTAATCATTGAAACTGATGGTTCATAAAAGTCTGCCATTGAAGTGGAAAACTACTACATTAGAGCGAAAATGATCTACCATGATGCATTGCCTGTGAGCTAAACTGCAAAACACTAGGAAGAAGAGCTTAATAAAGAAGGACGTAACGGGTGTGTATACGGGTGAAATGAGAAGAAACCTTTACTAAAGAATATAAGGGGGCAGTGAGTAGGTGAAAATATGATCAGAAGAAAACCGATAGAATCGACAAAACCACGAGTTTCTCAAGATGCTTCAATTCATGGTAAAATGGCATAAAACAGCAAAAGCTACCTTAGCATAGTAATCCTTCCAGACCCTGCGAGCAATCTGATGACCACCCAAATCAAAAGCCTTAAACTTGATTTTCCCAATGCTAAGTTCTTCAGACGTTGGATGCTGCGTCGGCTGATGCTGTACCAATCTCTGTTTCACCAATTCGACCAGTTAAGCAATAATCTTAGAAAGACAAACACTAATCTGGATTCAAGCAGTAACAAAGATTCCTAAATCCAATTCAAGCATCTATTCCAAAGTCAGACACTTCTCATAACTGAAACAACATCATATCAACGAATTGGAGCGAACCTCGTCTTTCAACATGTGAAGCAAAGTGGTTTTACCAGCATTATCGAGTCCAAGAAACAAGATCTTAGCCTCTTTCTGCCATAACCCTAACGAAGCGAGTACGCCATAGAACCAATCTACCAAGAACATCACTCACTACTCAGATCCGATCGACCAAGAGAGAGACAGTGAGATCGTCAGGAGGATTTCTAATTTAGCTTGGAAGACGAGTAAAGGACGACGATAGAGAGACGGAAAACGGCAAGCAGTGCGGATTCCGAAACCACAAACGGATCCACAACGATGCCGCCTGGGTCGTCTTCTAAGTTCTAAGTCAAAGGCAAGCCCAATTAGAGGACCCAATAAGCCCAGTTAGAGATTTACTTACTTAAGATCCAAATGGCCTTTTAGTCCAAGATTTTATAAACTTTTTTCTCTCTTTTGCGGTCCATTATCTAGATTACGGGAAGATTTCAATATTTTAAAATTTGTCGCTAAAAAACATGAATGTTTTCAGTTAAATTATTCATAATCTGATAATATCATTAACTAATCCTTTTGGTTTTTATCTTTTGTTATATCATCATTTGACCTTCGGTTTTTTATCGTTTGTTTTATCATCATTAGAAATATTTTTGATTTTTTTTCATTAATCTATGTAGAATTAATGTAGTATACATAGAGTTACAGAAAACAATTCTACGAATATGTTACATTAGTTTTTTAAATTGAATATTAATATGTGTGCATAGTCATATTTACAAGAATCTACCAGAAAATGATTAGTCGTCGGCGAATTTTGAAATATTTATTTTTATATGTTTCCTCTAGTAGTTGAAACCCCTACAAAAATCCAACGTAGAAACTAGAAAGATAAGGTCGCCACACAATAAAAAAAAAAATTGAGATAAGCACAAATGTCAGTGTCTATAAGTGTACTGAAACAAAAGAAGCTAATAATTATGCAATACAACAATTACATAATAATAACTAATAGGTATATTATAACAAATGAGATAATTGTCTATTGTCGTGATATGTTGATGAATGATGATATATACCTGGTTGTCTTCGTTTTAAATAGAAAACATCAGAGTATGGAGAAGTATAATCCAAAATGGAAAATTGACCTTAATTTTTCTGAAAATATGTGTTTTGTTAAAATAATGATAATAAAATGTACTATCTGATGTAGTATGGTCACTTTTCATTTGCATTTATGGTCTCACTTTATTTTCAAGAATAACATATAATTTCAGGAACACTATTTATCATAAGAGGTTAACAAAAGAAAAATGAAGTTTTCTAAAAAAATATATAGCAAAAAATAGGCCATTACAAAAAAGTAACATGAAGATGAAGAATTACTAAGACTTTTAATTTTTTTTTTTGTTTGGTATGCTGATTATTTTTAATAAAAATAGGACCCACGAGTTTAAATTTCTGGTACTCAGCAGCTGACCAGGCGACCGTTGATAAAGCAATCATACAATTCGTGATTCATATTCAAAATTCGTTCTAATTTCATATAGTACCTATTTTTTTAAAAAAAGTATTGTACTATAATAGTATAAGTTACATTACATCCATTATAAGTTTTTTTTTTCGTGTTATTGATATGATTAATTAAGATACTAGTTGACAAAATGATCTTCCAAGGCCAGAATGTATAAAATCGACAATTCCAAGAAGAGATTGAAATTTGATGGCATTTATTGTGATGTGTGTATTTAGTTTATTGCTGAACCAGTCAATCCTATGGTTTGGCATAATTAATCCACATATAAAAAAAAATGCAATACTAAAAAAAGGCAAGAAATGACAAGAAAAAGTTCTTCTATGAAATGAAAGCTAACCTAATGTATTATTCTTCTTTAGGGTAATTGAGTTTTAGATATAAGACCACAGTGATTTGAAGGTTTTTTTTAACTATTCTTGCAGTTATATTCATATCCAAGAACCATCACCCAATCAAAAGATATACGTAAGAAGAATCTTATTATTATGTTGTATATATGTGGGGACTCAACATAATCCAAACAAGTTTACAGCCAATTAATACATAAACAATGCTCCAAATTCTGAACAAGAATCATATACTATTAATTTTTAGGAGTTTTCGTTCTAAGACATACATTGTCATTCAATCATCCGGTCATCACCACTAAACTAGAAAAATATTTTTGAGATATTTTCTATAATTCAAATCTAATGTCACCAAGTACCATAGTATAGAAACCACACACTTTTCTGAATTATGATCATCTTAAGTTGTATTATATTGTGTCAAAATGGATAAAAAATTCTTGTAAAGTAGATTAATGTAACTAAATTTTGGTTAATGTGAAGTTGTTGTTGAGCCAAAAAAAGAAGTGAAGGTACCAATAGATGAGAGCCTCTCAACTATCACAATCTTCTACTTTGTTTTGTTAAACTACAATCTTCTACTTGCACAAGAAACCAATTCGTTTAAAAAAGAAATACATCAAACAATGTAAATTAAATATATAATTAAAAACAATATATATTATATAAGTTCTTTCCATTTAATATGTTCATAAAGAAAGAAATGAGAAAAGTCGAGGTTTATGTTGACTTGTGCGATCTCATAGTTGACAATTATACGGGCTCTTGCCTCACCTCCTAATTTGAAATAATCATTCTTCCAGCTCTTACATAACCGCTTTTTGTTTTTTAACTTTTGATTTTTTTTATGGTCGTTACTCAGTTTCTCCAAAAATTGTACATTATGTTATGGAAATACTAGAAAACCCCATAGTTATTTCTTTAACAAAAAAAAAAAAAACCATAGTTATTTCTTCCTATAATAAGTTCTTGAAGTACTAAAAGTCTAAAACCATCAAAAAGTTCTTGAAACACGTCAAAGCTGCCATATGCATGATTTAAATTCTGCTTTGTTCAATAATATACTCTCTTTATTCTATTATATAAAAAAAAAACTTTGCGTTAAAAGGTCAATATTAAAAAAATTATTTTTCTTCACATAAATATCGTTTAATATTTTAATTTAAAATAATTTAACTAATCATAAATAATACTGCAAAATATAAATAATTATAAAATATTAAGTATATTTAAATTTTGCATAAAAAATCTATAGCATTTTATAAAATGAGAAAGAGGGAGTATATACACTATATTCTTTAACTATTTGTGTAATGCTAAGTTGCTAACTATCATAAATAATCATGACATGATTAACTGAAGGACATTATCATTTATAGACTAGAATAGTGTGGAAGTCGGATTCACACACTCAAGTATTTTATTAAGTTGGAAAGATTATTCTTGAGGGACAAAAATGAATATGTAAAAACTTCTAAATTGCTACGAAAATTGCTATAGTATTTCTTTCTTGAGAGGAAGATCCCCCTTACACGGCGACTGGCCTTTATATTTATACATAGAGAATCGACATTAAAATGAATAATTAAGTACAATTATTCCTTCTTAAATGTGTCCGTTTTGATTCTTCGCCTTTAATGCTCAACGTTTGAATTTGAGTTGACTCTGATCTTCATGGGCCTCGCCCTTTCTGGCCCAAGTGTCCTTGAACCGACTTACCCGTGTCTTCTACATCGAACTCGTGTCACAGTGCAGCCACTTCGAACTCTCGAAGTGGTGACAACCACTTCGACCGTTCCTTCGGCTCATGGGTTCAATGGGCTTTGTCCTTTATGGGCCATCATCTTGACTACGTGGCAATCTTTGGTTGGTCTCGGACTTCTGGTGCGGGATCCGACACCAACAATTAGCCCCCCAAGTTCTTCG